CCGTATGTTGCATCATTGAATAAAGAGGACGGCTTCAAAAGATAATTGTGATACTCCTTTGTGAATAGATCCCTCTCATTAGCTGGTACAACATTATTATATATGAAAAAAAAGCCTTCTTTCATCTCCCATGTTTGATTAAAATCGGGAGAACTCACATACATTTGAATTTGATATAAGCATAATGTACCCTCCATATATATAGGCTTTTTCATTAATAAACACTAGGGGCAAAAATATCTTTTTCTTTTATCACAATTTCTTTCTTTTTAATTTTCTCTCCAAAAAACAATAATTTCTTTTCCATTTTTTTCTCTCTCTATTTTTTAAGTATGTTGATGTTATCAAGAGAAAATATCAAATATGTATTCTCTTTTTTATTTTTACATTTTTTGTGTGAAGATGATATGAGTAGGGACTAGTGCAAGGAGTACTAGGTATGGATGCTCAAAGCCGAACATCTGTCTTTTTTTATTCTAAGTATAAGGCATCTGCAAGTACTAGGTGCAGGTAAGATCGAGTTTGATTTCTGACAACTGTACTGAAAGGCAACTATTCTAAGCATAAAGCTTTTGGAAGTACCAGGTGCAAGGTCCCTTCTTTATCACTAATTTGTAAATAAAGTCCAGTTTACCTTTTCTCAGAGATTGCCCGACAAGGTCTCCTTTAAGGATGGGGCTCATCCTTTTTTTATTGTAAAATTAAAACATGCTTATAGTATGAGTTATGATGGTCGGAAGGTAAAACTGTAAAAGCATTGAATTGGTACGTATATCACCGAATTGGGAAAAAAGGGGTAGACGTAGACCAGCTTTGTAGACCAAGTAAGCTATAATTTTTCTCATAAATGATGTTATATTAAAGTAGGGGTAAACTTACACACCCAGTCACCCACCACTCTTTATACCGCACATTTCTTATACAACCATGTTAAATGTATCCTAAAGTTTGTATTCTAAAACATAATCCAAAGATTTATATTTACATTTTGATAGTTTGTATTGATACAAAATGTTAGTATAATTACAAAATTTTTCATTGACATTTTGTGTTATTTAGATTTTAACTCGTGCCGTGCACGGTAAGAACATTATAATACTCCCTTTGTCCACCATAGTGTTGGAGTTGTGCCCTGATGGCCAACTGTTTATCGTTATTCTATCATGTATAGGCAGATATAATATGTTTACACATCTCATGCTAATGTAAACAAATATTATATTCCTAGATTTATATTTAAAAGATGTTTATCAGATAGTATTTTTCTGCTGATGAGACTAACATCTTGAAATAAATATTTATCTAAATGTCCAGAGTCGAGTATTAACGAGAGTGAGATATCGTTAATGCATGTGAGACTAGTGTGTGTTGGATGTTTGACTTAGTCTCATAGTCAATGACGGTGTGTTCGCATCCGCACATGGGCAGATATTATCTAGAGATAATAGGATGCCGGACTGACCCATCCTAAAGATGTTGCTTGAACTTTTAGTTCATGCTCTAAGCATCTTTAGCGCGACCACGGGTGTAACTATCCTTTGACTTGAAGTATTACGTTTTTTGCATATGTGAACCCGCATACTTTGATGCATTGTCCTAAGCCATATGAAATAAGGATGGTATACAGGCTTTGTTTTGGGTATGCCGCAGCGCGTATTCGGAAACGTAGATTGCGTACATAGGATTTGTCACTACTCTTTTAAAAGAGATTAATGTCTTATGGGGCCCACTGATAAGTCATGACTGAGGAAATTGCATGGCCATGCTGAGATGTTTTTATGACGTCTGTTCCTATTAGTCAGACTTGATAAATCAGTGAATGACTTAATGGATACAAGCTGGATTTTATTAATCCCTTGCATTAAGTTTAGACATTGAGACAAAGGG